GTAGTACTGGGAAGTGCTTTGTGCAAGCTTTGTAGGACAAAGTAGTGCTGGGTGCAAGCTTTGTAGTACAAAGTAGTACTGGAACGTGCTTTGTGCAAGCTTTGTAGTACAAAGTAGTGCTGGTTGCAAGCTTTGTAGTGCAAAGTAATAATGGAACTTGCCTTGTGCAAGCTTTGTAGTACAAAGTAGTACTGGAACGTGCTTTGTAAAAGCTTTGTGGTACAAAGTAGCTGGGAAGTGCTTTGTGCAAGCTTTGTAGTAGAAAGCAGTATTGGGAAGGACTTTGTGCAAACTTTGTAGTACAAAGTAGTACTGGGTGCAACCTTTGTAGTACAAAGTAGTACTGGAACGTGCTTTGTGCAAGCTTTGTAGTACAAACAAGTACTGGGAGGAACTTTTTGCAAGCGTTGTAGTGCACTTTGGTACTGGGAAGTAGTTTGAGCAAGCTTTGTAGTACAAAGTAGTACTGGGAAGTACTCTGCGCAGGCTTTGTAGTACGAAGTAGTACTCTGGCGTGCAGAAGAGCTGAGATGAGTTGAAACTAGTTTCGGTGAGATGAGAAGAAATGAAACGAAAATAGTTAACAAGAACTTGGCTGACATATTGGAAGACATGAAATGAGATGAGAAGAGATCAGATGAGATGAGTTGAGATGAAGTGCAAGTGTGAAGTGTGGAGTGCGGGGTGTGAAGAGTGCAGTGTGAGGTGTGAAGAAAGTGTTCGCTTGGAGTTGCATTGCGCCGGGGTCCTGCGCAGGTCATGTTCTTGGACACCAACAGCGCAACAGCTTCGCACAAAGCACGCACGCACGGGCCTGGCTGGAGCACGGCGCATGCAAGTTCTATAGATGAGAGAGGTCTTATAGTATATTCCTCAGGCAACTTCCGCCCCGCCTCGTGCGGATACGTTATCTTTCCTTGGGTTTAAAAATAATTATTTGGACAAGTGTCATGTTGTATATAATTTAACTCGAGCACTTGTATACCTATAGTTTCACAATGTTTCACACATATGATATCATTTCATAGTAACATGCACTATTATTTTTTTTGTCTGCTGCTATTATTTTCTGGATTTTAATGTCATGTACAATTTTACATGGTGCTAAAGTACACACAGCATAAAACCTGTAGTACATACATAATCAATTATTACGTATGAAACAGACATATGATGAACAGTGACTAACAAAATATCATGGTTACCCTCCATGTACTAGTTGGAATGTATTTCCAGGTATAGCTCCAAAATGGGCTCCCGAACCGCAGAATTGCTGAGCCATTCCCAGATAGGCTTGGAAGATGCCTTCGGCAAAAAAAACAGCACATCTCTATGATTTTCAAGATGAGGTCTATGACCATTTGTCTCTGGCAAATATGTGGCTAAACCACAAGGAAAGAGGGGGCCAATCACCCGAGGAACTTTCGCATCGTTCGCAGCTCACAAACCTCGGTATCGGTCAAGGTGGTCAAAGTGTGGTATGCCAAAATTGTATGGCAGAATTCTCTTGCAGGAAGAACATGTGGAGTCTTTAAAAATGGACTGCATCACAGCTCTGGACCAATTTCTTTTTTTTTGCAGTTTGCAGATGTTGAGACGTACTTTGGTAAATCTTGGTGAAAGTTAGCTGCAACAAAAATACAAGTGAAGAATGCTGGAGAAATATTTTGTGTCCCACTGAACAGTCGGTTTGTGAGCCTGAGGAGATGATCTCAACTGATTTCAACCAGTGGGGCCCCGTTTGTTCCCATGGATGTGACCACACACGATACAGGTTCTATCAGTTATATCTTGATTATAGAGCTATTACATAGAGAAATCAGCTCTAAAGAACTAGCCTCAAATCCGGTAGTGATTCTATTATTTTCTACTCTGTATTGTCTGACCATTGTTCTGGGTGAAATCGCTCCATGAATAGCGGCACTGGGGATGCAGGCAGCACGCGGGCCGGGCAAAATCGTGTCTTGGTTTTTCATGAACTTCGGCTTGGTTGTTTGGCATACCATGTAATTTTATGGTAAACATATATATATATATATATTATATATATATATAAAGGGGTAGAATTTTGTGTTTAACTTGCTAGTGATTTGAGAATTGGTGATTTGTTGGTTGCAACCCACCTTTCACTGGTCAAATGCCCGCCAACGGCGAGTTTTCGGTGGGCTGGGATCACTGGAGTGATCTTGGAGGGGATCTAGAGAAAGCCACCAGGTGCCCAAGAAACAAACCCACCTGAAACAGCACATGGCTGTGATATGAACCTCATTTGGAGATGACTTTCCAGTTGAATATCGATGTTTTCCACTCCGGTATCCATGATCTAAACGGTGTGCAATTAGGAGATGAAAAATTGTGCTCAAGTGCCAGACTCTTAGGTTTTAACCCATACATAAGCTTTGGGACGAGGACGCGACCTGAGTCCATACTGGCAGGTATATGACCTGTAGGTATGGGACTAGCAATGGGGTGCCTCCAACATCTTGGAAAAGTCATTATAGCAACCACGAAAAAGATAGAAAACTGAAATCTGACCACATTAAATTATGGTAGAAAAATGGTAACCACCTAAAATGATCTAGGTGCAAGGTCCTCGGAACCACAGATTCCAGGAACCTTTCAGTAATTACTTCCGATCCAAGTTCAGGCTTCAGGCTTGTTACATTGATATAATATGTATATATATAATATATATATAATATAAACAACGTATGTCCCCTTTAAATATAGTACTTCCCCCAAAAGATAGAAACATGATTTCTTTGCTCTTCTATCTTTTTGGGGCTGACTATTTGAAATGCCATAAACCGGCTGCTTTTTGGCCAACGGTTTCTTGGTCCCTCTTGAAACCCTGACTTCTTGACACATCCTCATCTCGGCCCCTTTGCTCTTGATTTCTGTAGCAGAGCCCTTGGTGCCCAGTTTACTATTTTCCTGCTACACATGTACTGGTTCAGCATGACCATCAAGATCGGAACCCACCACAGGCCACTGGTGGGCAAGTGATAATGGGTTGGCCTATGGAACAAGTCAGGAGATTAGAGGACACCCATTTGTTTTTTTTTGGTGTGTTTTACCACCCAAAGATGGGATTCACACGGGAGAGGGTTCCTTAATCTACTGAACTTGCTGTAAATCTTATTTTGCTGGGAACCATGCATTGAACTGGCGGGAGACTATCATCTTTACCCCGGCCTCATTTTGAATGGTACAGCTGAGGAAACTTGGCTATAAGTAGAGATTTTCCATTGCCAGATAGATTACTAGTGGGCATTCTGTCTGGGAAAATTGCAAGGATCCCAAATCAATGTTCACATCGAAACCATCAATTTCGTGAAATCTGTCAGTTTTGGGATCTGTCAGTGAGAAATTTGGGATCTGTCAATTGTATATATATTATACATACTATATCTGGTTGGTGGCTTGGAACATTTTTGATTTTCTATATATTGGGAATAATCATCCCAACTAACTAATATTTTTCAGAGGGGGTGAAGCCACCAACCAGATATACAATGTATATCAGTTTGAATTTTCCAGACGCTCTATTTTTTCTCCCTGGTCGATCCCTGGTCGAACGAACAACTAGGAGGTTGATCGATTCGCCAAGTGCGACCGCAGCTGGGATGTTTCGTGGGGCTAGACAGACAACAGCTACAAATCATGGAAACATAGGACATCTATGGAATAGACATGAATAAACATGGAATATAACCACCGGATTCGTGACACTGGATTCTTATGGAATTGAAAATTGGAATTGGCACATTTTTGTGGAATTAAACATATGAAACTGCAACTGGATTCTTATGGACACATGCTGGAATATAACCACAGGACATGATAGGACAGGGGAGATTTAATGGGATATTAAGATATATTAAGGGGTTATGTATGGATATGTCGTGAGAAATTAGTGATATACAATATATTGTGTATAGATCTATATGTATATAATGGAATGTAAGATTATATCCAATTTGGATATATCTGGGTATCTCTGGACTCTGGATGAACTATATCAACGCCAGCGTGACGTCCCTGGAAGAGTAACTATCCAAGATGACTGAAGTTTTCAGGTTGGTGAATTTAGCCCCTGGTTTCCAAGTTTTCCGGACAGAAAGCATGAGTCGCTTCTGTGAGTCGGGTCCCCATGTTCCCCGGTCTGTGTTTTCAATGCCCCTGAAACCTGCTTCTGTGGCTCTTGGAAGATCGAAAATCTCCTTTACCAGGCAAACGGGGCAAGCCCGCGATTTGCAGTCGAACCTCTCCTCCATGGCACCTCGGTCGCAGGGGTGCAAACGGTGTAGCGGTGTTGATACAGTGAGGCAACTGTTTTTTTGCCTGGACATTTTAAGTGTTGGCACACAATTCTACTGGAAGCAATTTCCTGGTTGAAAGACGTCATGGATCGAAATTCAAAGCGAAGGAGACATTTTGTTCATCTTCAGGAACTGCCTTCTAACAAGAAAACATGTTTTGGAGTACCCAAGTTTGACCCCATACCGTGATGGATATATGAGATACTCAATCAAGTGTTTTAGGATTTTGAGATGTCGTTGCATCCCAACTTTCAGTTGTGAAAAGACCGCCCTTGCTGACATTTATCTGTTGGATGCGCCCCTTCTGTCGTTGAGCCGTGGAATTGTTGCTTGGGGTGCCGCGTCCTAGGACCAATCTGGTCAGCTACTCACGAGAGTTGATGGTGGCCATTGTCGCATGAAAACAGCAAACAGCAAACATATTTCGAACATGAGTTTTGATAGTTTTTTTTGGTAATTTTAAAGTTTTGGCATGGACATGGCCATTTCTGAACAGGCTCTTAATGTGGTCCTCAGATCTGTGTCATCCGAGGATTTTGGTGACAAGAAGCGAAGCTGAGAGCGACAAAAACCACCAGTGGTGGACTGGTGTCTCAACCCTGCAAGTCTGGATGAAAATGAACGAGAAAGTCTGGACACGTCTGGAGCAACACGAAAAAGATAGAAACCAGAGGTTTGATAGTGGGATAATACTATGATTAACAGTGGGATAATATTATGATTAATAGTGAGATAATCATATGACATGATATGACTATGGTTTGATATGGTTTGATAGATTTCCTGCATTTTCAATGCAGACTCTGGCATGAACTGCCCTTCTTTGGTGAACGGATGTGAATGGTGAACAGCCATTGCTTCGGAAAACGAGCCGACTTGCAGGGAGCCGTTGTGAATCCATGTCATCACAATTCTGAACAAAATATTTTATGACATATATGTGTTACCATAATAATATATATATATATATACATATACATATATACATATATATATATATACATATATATACATATATATATATATGACAATTATAAACAACATGTTTGGTGGGTCTTGTTTATACTGTTCATCAAGCCATCCACCGAGGATAATCGAGGATGATCCGAAATGATGTGGGATGGATGACTCGAAACTACAAACCAGCCAAGCCGGCTTTTTGAAGGCACAGCCTGAGCACATGAGCCAGCTTGGCGAACATCTCACTTGGACAATCGCAAAGGCGTTGTCCGCACGGATCGATCATGTTGTCCGGAAAGAGGCGCGAAACCGAAACAAGGCAGTTTCAGTTGGGGCTTCTGGGTTCGCTTGCAACCCCAATGATGAGGAACAGTGCAGATTTGTTGATTTACGTGACACAATGGTTTGAACATTTGAATTGGTCGCTTGGCCACAGAGCGATGAAACTTTGATCAGGAGTTTCTTTTGATACCCCGCGGCAATGGAATATGCAAAAGCAACAACCCAGACTTTAGGAAATCAATATTTGGGTTTGTCTGAAAATGGGGTATACCCCCAATGAAATAGTCATTTAGTAGGGATAATGATCAGAAAAACCATTGGGTGTAGGGGTACACAACATTTTCAGACACACCCATTTGTCTCCCGACCTTTGTTTGTGTCGATGCAGAGTATGAGTCAAACTTGGATACACCAAGCTGCGACGATGACCACTGAGTTTGCAGCCAGCTGGGGCCCAAGCCGATATTTCCGCGCCCATATCATCAAAGTGGAATGCCAGTGGTGAAATTTTGACAACGAAATTCCGTTCGTCATGGTGAGTGATTTGCCTAGACACGGAAAACCAGCACAGATCCCATGTTTCGAGCCATGTCCGCAACGAAAGTGATTTTTTTAACGATCGCATAATTGTTTTCATGACATTTGCCGGGCCTTGGCAATTTTTGGTCCAAGTTCGACCACGGAGCCCGCAGCGAATTCTGGAGTTAATGCCCAAGGATGGCTGTTTTGGGTGTGCCCACTGAGCAATTGCCCCTGCTTTTTTTCCCAGAAACGAATGCAAACATGTCCTTTCCGACATGAATCTGTTCCCAGGTTTTGTTGAACCTGGGGATTACGGGTTTGTTTGAAAACACCACCATTGCATCGGGTTTTTCCCGAGAGCGTCTGAGCGCAGGGTTCTTCCAATAGTGGGGGTCTATAAAACATCTTCTCATCTTCACATCTTCTCTCACATCTGCTCATCTTCACATCTTCTCTCACATCTTCTCTCACATCTGCTCATCTTCACATCTGCTCATCTTCGCATCTTCTCTCACATCTGCTCATCTTCACATCTTCTCTCACATCTGCTCATCTTCACATCTTCTCTCACATCTTCTCTCACATCTGCTCATCTTCACATCTGCTCATGTCCACATCTTCTCTCACATCTGCTCATCTTCACATCTGCTCATCTTCACATCTTCTCTCACATCTGCTCATCTTCACATCTTCTCTCACATCTTCTCTCACATCTGCTCATCTTCAAATCTTCTCTCACATCTGCTCATCTTCACATCTTCTCTCACATCTTCTCTCACATCTTCTCTCACATCTGCTCATCTTCACATCTTCTCTCACATCTGCTCATCTTCACATCTTCTCTCACATCTTCTCTCACATCTGCAAATCTTCACATCTTCTCTCACATCTGCTCATCTTCACATCTTCTCTCACATCTTCTCTCACATCTGCTCATCTTCACATCTTCTCTCCTTTCTCTCTCCCTTTTCTCTCTCTCGCCTTCTTTATCTTTCTCTCTTAAGGCCGAGGGTGGTGCCGGCGGCGAGTCACGAAACGTCAACCCTTTCGCACGAAATGAGGGTCGATCGTCAAAAACTGAGGAAAAATTGCGATTTTACTTGCCCCGGAGCAACCCTTTCGCACGAAATGAGGGTCGATCGTCAAAAACTGAGGAAAAATTGCGATTTTACTTGTGCTAAAGCAACCCTTTCGCACGAAATGAGGGTCGATCGTCAAAAACTGAGGAAAAATTGCGATTTTACTTGTCCTGGAGCAACCCTTTCGCACGAAATGAGGGTCGATCGTCAAAAACTGAGGAAAAATTGCGATTTTACTTGTGCTAAAGCAACCCTTTCGCACGAAATGAGGGTCGATCGGCAAAAACTGAGGAAAAATTGCGATTTTACTTGTCCTGGAGCAACCCTTTCGCACGAAATGAGGGTCGATCGTCAAAAACTGAGGAAAAATTGCGATTTTACTTGCCCCGGAGCAACCCTTTCGCACGAAATGAGGGTCGATCGGCAAAAACTGAGGTAAAATTGCGATTTTACTTGCCCCGGAGCAACCCTTTCGCACGAAATGAGGGTCGATCGGCAAAAACTGAGGTAAAATTGCGATTTTTCCTGTGCCGGACTTGTCTGTGTGTAAAAGCGTCTGTGTGTAAAAGCGTCTGTGTAAAAGCTGTGTGTGTAAAAGCGTTTGTGTGTAAAAGCAAAAGCGTCTGTGTGTAAAAGCGTCTGTGTGTCAAAGCTTCGTCTGTGTGTAAAAGCGTCTGTGTGTAAAAGCGTCTGTGTGTAAAAGCGTCTGTGTGTAAAAGCGTCTGTGTGTAAAAGCGCCTGTGTGTAAAAGTCTCTGTGTGTCTGTGTGTAAAAGCGTCTGTGTGTAAAAGAGTCTGTATGTAAAAGGGTCTGTGTGTAAAGCGTCTGTGTGTAAAAGGGTCTGTGTGTAAAGCGTCTGTGTGTAAAAGTGTTTGTGTGTAAAAGCTTCTGCGTGTAAAAGCGTCTGAGTGTAAAAGCCTCTGTGTGTAAAAGCGTCTGTGTGTAAAAGCGTCTGAATGTAAAAGCGTCTGTGTGCAAAAGCGTCTGTGTGTAAAGCGTGTGTGTGTAAAAGTGTTTGTGTGTAAAAGCTTCTGCGTGTAAAAGCGTCTGTGTGTAAAAGCGTCTGTGTGTAAAAGCGTCTGTGTGTAAAAGCGTCTGTGTGTAAAAGCGTCTGTGTGTAAAAGCGTGTGTGTAAAAGCGTCTGTGTGTAAAAGGCTCTGTGTGTAAAAGCGTCTGTGTGTAAAAGTGTCTGTGTGTAAAAGAGCCTATGTGTAACAAGCGTCTGTGTGTAAAAGCGTCTGTGTGTAAAAGCGTCTGTGTGTAAAAGCGTCTGTGTGTAAAAGCGTCTGTGTGTAAAAGCTTCTGTGTGTAAAAGCCTCTGTGTGTAAAAGCGTCTGTGTGTAAAAGCATCTGTGTGTCAAAGCGTCTGTGCGTAAAAGCATCTGTGTGTAAAAGCGTCTGTGTGTAAAAGCGTCTGTGTGTAAAAGCGTCTGTGTGTAAAAGCGTCTCTGTGTAAAAGCGTCTGTGTGTAAAAGCTTCTGTGTGCAAAAGCCTCTGTGTGTAAACGGGTCTGTGTGTCAAAGCGTCTGTGTGTAAAAGCGTCTGTGTGTAAAGGCGTCTGTGTGTAAAAGCGCTTGTGTGTAAAAGCGTCTGTGTGTAAAAGTCTCTGTGTGTAAAAGCGTCTGTGTGTAAAAGTGCCAGTGTGTAAAAAGCGTCTGTGTGTAAAAGCGTCTGTGTGTAAAAGCGTCTGTGTGTAAAAGCGTCTGTGTGTAAAAGCGTCTGTGTGTAAAAGCTTCTGTGTGTAAAAGCGTCTGTGTATGTAAAAGTCTCTGTGTGTAAAAGTGTTTGGGTCTGTAGAGTTTCGTAATGATAGCTTCTAAGCATCTAGGGTTGTCCTTAAGAAATATATATATGCGCTTTCTATATTTGCTACTTGAGCAGCAATTAGGATGCACAGGTCCCATTGGCCATTTCATTTGCTCCAGTTGGCCGAAGTCTTACGTAGATTTTTTTTTGCAGCAATGGCTGCAGCACCTCCCGCTGCAGCAGCCGCTGCACCAAAGCAAGGGGTCTGATGATGCATTGCAACAACAAGAATTCCTTCAAATTTCTAGGCATTATTCCCTGAAAAATCTTTAAAGGTTTAAAGATGCAGCTTTCTTTAAATAAATACAAAATTGAATTGAAAATTAGATACCCAAAATACAAAGATACAAAACAGAAAAAACCTTGAAGCATTAAGGACCACACAATTCCATAAAAACTCCAGTGTTTCCTGAAAAATCTGCGCAAAATTAAAGCCACGCAAAAACACAAAATTGAAATGACAATGACAAAATCAAAAATTGCAATTTCTGAACACATATTTTTTCATAAATTAATTTAAAAATAAAATTAAAATTAAAAAAGACAAAAATACAAAAATACAAAAATAAAAAAAACAACTTTAAGGACCACACAATTCCTTAAAAACTGCAGGAGTTGCTTAAAAGCTGCAGAAAATTAAAATCACAGAAAATACAAAATTGAAATAACAACATGAAAAACTGCAATTTCTCAAGATTTTTTTTTTCAAAAACTAAATTTTCAATTAAAAATAAAAATAAAAAAACAAAATACAAAAATACAAAAATAAAAAAACAACTTTAAGGACCACACAATTCCTTAATAACTGCAGGAGTTGCTTAAAAGCTGCAGAAAATTAAAATCACAGAAAATGCAAAATTGAAATGACAAAATGAAAAACTGCAATTTTTCAAGATTTTTTTTTCAAAAACTAAATTTTCAATTAAAAATTAAAAAAAAATAAAAATACAAAAATACAAAAATAATATAAAAAAAACAAAAAAAAACTTAAGGACCACAAAATTCCTTAAAAGCTGCAGGATTTCCTTA